CAGCGCCGCCGAGGCTCCGCGGTCGCTCCGGGTCCACTTCGGCGAGCCAGGGGAGGCAGCTAGCGCCGCCGGGTTGCCGTCGTTCTCCCGCCGCCGGGCACCGTATTGCAGAAGGGGGACGGCTGGCACGGGTCCGGGATGGCGTGCCGCGGACTCCACCCCCCCTCCCACCCTCACCCTCACGCCCGCCTCCCCCTTCTCGGTTGCTTTTTGAAAGATGATCGGGCAGGAGCATCTGCTAGCTGGGAGCAAAGAGCGCTCGTCCGGTTTTGGGCTGCCGGGAAGCTGCAGGCAGGACGAACCGGCCATGGTAGGTAGGTAGGTAGGTAGGTAGGTAGGTAGGTAGGTAGGTAGGTAGGTAGGTAGGTAGGTAGGTAGGTAGGTAGGTAGGTAGGTAGGTAGGTAGGTAGGTAGGTAGGTAGGTAGGTAGGTAGGTAGGTAGGTAGGTAGGTAGGTAGGTAGGTAGGAAATCTATTATAAAACCTCCTGGTAGGTAGGTAGGTAGGTAGGTAGGTAGGTAGGTAGGTAGGTAGGTAGGTAGGTAGGTAGGTAGGTAGGTAGGTAGGTAGGTAGGTAGGTAGGTAGGTGAGAGACAGACGGATGGATGGATGGATAGATGGATAGATGGATAGATGGATGGATCAATGGGAACACATTCAAACATTCCCAGCACCCCCTTTCAGATAAACATAGACAGGTCTGGGTGTCTATAAAAGCAAAGGGTGGTATATATTTATTTATTTATATTATATATTTAATTTCCCTGGAAAAGACCCTGATGTTGGGAAAGTGTGAAGGCAAGAGGAGAAGGGGACGACAGAGCATGAGATAGCTGGACAGTGTCATCGAAGCGACCAACATGACTTTGACCAAACTCCGGGAGGCAGTAGAAGACAGGACGGCCTGGTGTGCTCTGGTCCATGGGGTCACGAAGAGTTGGACATGACTTAATGACTAAACAACAAATATTTAATTGTCATATAATTAATCATGGTGGAGGACTGACTGAGCTTCTTTTACAGAGAGAAAACTCTTCAGATCTGCCTTTCCTTCTTTACACCAAACAGAAAATTTAAGAAAAAAAAGTGAACTGAAGTTATGTGACCTTCTGGAAAGCAGTCACTTGCACTGTAGGATTATTTATTTAAGAATTTATGTGCCACCTTTCAGAACAAAAGTTTTCTCAAGGAAGCGGAGGGTCAAGGCAATAAAACATTCAAAATAAACATCTGAAGCCAACTTTTACAACCACAATCTGAAACTAGTTGTGTCATCGTTATAGGCATGCCTGATCGCTGTGGAACCATGGCAAAGTCAGGGAAGTGTTCATTTAAAGGTCCCTGAAAACACAATACAGGACTTCCAGAATCAGTCCCCAATAGCACTAAGACAATAACAACATGCTGTCAAATTGATTCTGACTTAAAGGTGAGAATTTTCCAGGTGCAGCTTGCCCAAGGCTACACAGGCTGGCTCTTTCCCTGGGAGGAAAAGTGGAAAACCAAAGCTATCCAGAAACATCCTAAAGAGCTGCTGCCAGTTAGAGTTGGCAGTGCTGAACCGATGTTTTGCCTAGGTGGAAAGGCAGCTTTTGAGAAGGCTTAAGATCATATGGGGTGAGGTTGGGTTTTCTGTCACAGGATGCTGACGGTCTCCATTTTTCGACAGTCACAGGGGTGGGTTTGATTACCAGCATTAAAAATATTGTTGTTGTTTAGTTGTGTCCGACTCTTTGTGACCCCATGGACCAGAGCACGCCAGGCCCTCCTGTCTTCCATTGCCTCCCGGGGTTGGGTCAGATTCATTCATTTTTATATAAAGTTTATTATATAAAAGATAATGCACTCTAAAAATTGCCATGCCTCCATTGCATATCACTGCAGAGATGAGCAACACTCTGGATGTTTTGGACTATCAGTTTGAGCCAGAATGTCTGTTGGTGGGGGGGCGTTGGTGAGTCCAACAACTGGGCAGTCATGCATTCTCTAAGCCACTGCTTTAAATGTCTTAATGTTTCCCATTTAAAGAGGTTCTAGGAGGTTTCAGTAGGAAGGACAATGGTCATTTTAAAAATGCACAGAGTGACCCCTAGTGCCTCCTAAATATTGGCATGTTCCCAGTGACTTCCTTCTGATTCTGTCAGTGATATCTACCCACAGGCCAACACCTAATGTCACCCTAACTCTTGAACAATGGGCTTCTGTGACTGATCATTGAGGAGGGCATGGAATTCAGCTTTCAATTTTTATTTTGTTAGATGAGCAGATTGTGCAAGATTCTGTGGGTGGCATGCACTGCAGGGACTTAACTTCTCATCCCTCTTTCTTCAATCAATTTAGTCTCAGGCTGGTTCACCACTAGCATCTCCTCCTCAATCAAGCAGAAACCAATGTCAGGACCTCAGCGGTCTTATACTGCATGAGACCCTTGGTCTATTATCCCAGCACTCTCTGTTCTTTTCATCTGCAGTAGTCCAGGATCTTAAGGAGAGATATCTCTCATCACTTCTTTTCAACTACTGAGTGTTGGATTTAAGATGTCATGCACGCAAGATGTGTGCGGCTGCCATTCAGCTATGTCCCTTCAGTCTGTAGTGAGATCAACCACAGGCAGAGAGCCTCTCGGCATTGCCTGTCTTTTGCCCTCAAACACACACACACACACAGAGAGAGGGAAAGAGAGAGAGAGAGAGAGAGAGAGAGAGAGAGAAAGAGAGTTTATACATGCTTAGGTAAAGGTTCCCCTTGACATTTAGTCCAGTTGTGTCCAACTCTATGGCACGGTGCTCATCTCCATCTTCAAGCCATAGAGCCAGCATTTTTTGTAGACAGTTTCCGTGGTCACGTGGCCAGTGCAACTAGACATGAAATGCAGTTACCTTCCCACTGATGTGGTACCTATTTATCTACTCACATTTACATGCTTTCGAACTGCTAGGTTGGCTGGGACAAGTGACAGGAGCTCACTCCGTTGCGTGGATTCGATCTTACGACTGTTGGTCTTCTGACCTTGCAGCCCAGAGGTTTCTGCAGTTTAACCCCCAGCGCCACCATGTCCCTTATACATGCTTAGGAAAGCCTAAAAAAACAAGGTTGGTTACCAATGCCTAATTTGAGCTAGGATCTCCAGAGCAAAATCTCACTGGGTTTAGAGCTATGCTCAAAGGTGAAAGACACCATTTCAATACCTAGTCCACACATATTATCAATGCCGTGATGTTAGATGCCCCAGGGAATATTCAGATTGCAGGCTCTTGGTTGAAACTACCTGATATACTTAGACAGGTTTTACAAGTTTATTTTATAAACCAGTTTATACTTTATATGTGTTCATATACAGACCACTGTCTAATTTTATATTGCCTTCTGTTTAATTGTGCTGTGGTACATCTGGCATGAAAGAAATTAAAAAATCACAGGAAAAGAGGAATCTACTTTATACTGAGTCAAAGTAACGGTTCTTGTAGTCCACCATTGCCAGTTCTGACTGGCAGCAGTTGTCCAGGGATTCAAAGAGGAGTCTTCCTTAACTCTGTCTGGGAAACACTGGTATTTTCTGATAGTCTTCTGTACAGTGACCCACCCTCCTTAACTTCTCAACTTGATAAAGATTGGAATGCTCAGGGGATACAGTAGACAGTGTTTGGAAGTGTCACTTATGCAGCTTGTTTTCCCGCCTTCCTACTGTTCATGGATTATGGCAGCTGAACACATTTTGCTTCAAGAGACAAAGGATGCGATTTGCTAACTTTCCTTCAACTGTGTAGACACTGACTGGCCTGGCTGTTCTCCAACAGGTCTATCCTATAGATACTCATATTGTGGTCTATCAGAAGTGTAGAGGCATTTCATGACAGTTCCCATAGCTACTTTACCCTATAAGGAGAATCCCAACATTTAAGACACAGGATCGGTCCATATCAACCAATGCGGAACAGATCTTTTGTCTTAATTGCTCATATGAGACTAAGCCACCTCTAATGCTTCACATTACAATAGGGACAGGTTGTAATGATATAATCATCATGGGAAAATCTGTTTCTCTCCTAACTGCAGATAAACTCAAAGGAAACACATAACTCTGGGGTTTTTTGTGGATAGTGTCATAATCCACGCTACTAAAAATGTCCTGGGTTTTTGTCTGTGCAAGCCCTGGTTCCACTACATCACTATAACCATGCCATCTGAACTTGTCCAGATGATTGGTTTCCAGGGCTGAATCCAAGCCAGGCACAGGCCAGGACTCCATTCCTATTTTGCACTTTCCCTGGAATAGGCATTAAAGGGTAAGTGACCCACAAGTTTGGATCTAAATGTAGGAAACACAGTCCAAGCAGATAACTTGCAAGTTGGGCGTGCTGTTTCTAGAGCTTGGAAAAGTTACTTTGGAGGGAACTTCAACTATCAGAATCTTCCATCTGACAATCGGCTAGAAGGTACTAGGAGCTGTTGCCTCCCCCCACCCCCAGTAACTGTACTCAGCTCTGTGCATTTCATATGATGATGGAAATATGAACCTTGTCACTAGGGAAACATGAATGGTCACTAGGGAAATCAACCCTGTGTACAGATCATAGATATGGGTCAGATCTGAATGATGCCTGTGCTCTGTCAATAACTAGAGTAGCATTTTGGAGTCACATTTTCCATCTTTGGATTCTTCATTTTTCATGTTCAGTTGCACCCATACAATCTTCTGCCTTGCTTCTCATAAGTCACAGGCAGTGGCAGCTGGTGATTCCAGTTTCAG